AAAGGAAAAAAAGATTAGAGGCTAGAGTTTTTCAGTTTTTAAGTGACCACAGAGGCCTGGCTGGAGCCATGGGCAGATTTATTTTGGGCCGAGCTTTTTTTTTTTTTTTTTTTTTTTTTTGTGATTTGGAGCAGCCTCTCTTTGCCCCTGGGGTGGCCTCAGGTTGAGGCTGGGGGCTGGACCTGCTCTCAGAGCTTTGCTGCACCGTCAGGGCCTACTCCAATTTAATCTCCTCTAGTGTCTTAATGTGCACCTCCTGCATTGACCTTGCTCTTCAGGCAGACTTCTCTTACTGTCCTTTGCTGACAACTACGGGTAGCAAAACCACTGTCTTTTTACTTTCAGTGTCCGTCTTTAGTTTGATTCAACTTCCATCCTTTTTGGTTTTGGTTTCTCAATTTCCTGCTGTTGATGCTTTTTTTCTCAGCCAGGACCTCTGAGAAGATTTTGATTTGCAGAGTGAAAGAACTTTTTGTTCCTGATGTAGAATCGTTAGCTGTTGAAGGTTCTTCTGTCTGGAGTTTGGTTTGTAATGCTCTGCTTTCTGACTAGCTCTTCCAAGAAGAATTTCTTCCAGTGTCTTCACGTGGATTTCACCAGTTTTACTAACACTCTCTTTCTTTGATGTTTTATCAGTGTTAGTTTCCGGAGCTTCAACTTTTCCCCAGGCCTCTGTGCAAGACTCCATGTTAATGGGGAATCACTGTCACCACCTGCTGAGAATTTTTGTCTCCCTAGTCTCTCAGTAAGTCTCAGTCGCACCAAGGGCTCTTCTGGTTTGTTTGATAGAGCTCCTGTCCTCACCATAGTCCGAACATTCTCTATTTCAGGACCTGGAATGGACTGAGGTTGATGGGTAACACTGGAAACTCCTGAAGACCCTCCACTTTGCTTCTTGGATTTTTCCTTCATTTTCTTTGATTTAATTTCCTCAAGAGTTTTTATCCCCAAAATCCAAACATTCACCTTGTTTTCAATTAACTCCAGGTTTCCATGCAGAAGCCACTCGTAATCCACTGTGTCAGGGGTTGGTGGCAGGGCAGGCGTTTTGCCTTCATCACCTCCTCAGAAAACCGCTTATCATCATCTTCATCATCATCTGCAGCACTGATTACAGTTGGTGGATGTGTGGGGCTAGGAGCATTTTCTGAACTTCCTACTTTCATAACACTCTGCAGCTGAGGGGAGGGGTTAGATTGGACAGACAATTTGTTCTGTTTGAACTGTTAGCTGACTAGCCTTTACTTCCTGTTCTGGTGACTCAGGTACAGTGGGTAACACAGTTTTGCTTGAAGGTAGGAACAGTCTATAATGTAACGGCTTCTGTAATGGAAAGCCCAGGTTAGCTTTTGACATCCCATTGGCTGATTTTCCCAATAACATGGACTTTCACTGCGTGTTTTAGCAATTTCCATGTGGCAAAACCTACACACCTGTCAAAAACAATGCCCTTCTTGCCTTAATGTGCAAACAGTTCCATTCCCTAGTGCAGCCTCACGGTGATGAAATGGGCAGCTGTCACCTTTGGTGCATGTAGAACTGAAAACAAAGCAGTCCTCTTGATTAGGCATGTTGGGTAAATTCTTAGACCAGAAATGGCTTCTTGAAATAAGCTGCTCTTTCCCAAGGTGAAGACCAGTTCCAAGTGCTCTTGAAATAGATTCAGTCTTCCAAATGACAATTTGTTCTAGTTTGTTCTTCTTTGCTGTGACAAAATACTCTGTCCACTACCAACTTGGGGAGGAAAGGGTTTATTTGTCTTACATCTCCCGGGTCACAGTTCATCAGGGAGCCCAAGGTAGGAACTCAGGGCAGGAACCTGGAGGCAGGAGCTAGAGCACAGGCCATGGAGGAACGCTGCTTACAGGCTTGCTCCCCTGGCCCCTGCTCAGCCTGCTTTCTTATGTAACACAGGCCCACCTGCCCAGGGGTGGCACCACCCACAGTGGGCTGGGCCCTCCCACATCACTCATCAAGAAGATGCCCCTCAGATATGGCCACAGGCCAGTCCAATAGAGGCAATTCCCCAACTGCGGCTCCCTCATTCCAGGTGTGTCAAGTTGACACTAAAGCTATGCAGCACACAACTCAATCACAGAAATCATCTTTAAAATGTAATCATTAGCTGGTTGCTGTCAATAGGAACATCTGTGTCTTCACTGAGTTCCAACCTATTATGTACTTAATACTAGTGATTTTTCCAGGAATTTTTTGGGCAGGGAATATCCCCAAATCTCTTCTGCAAGAATCTGTTTGTAAATTTCTAAATCAGCACCTTGAGGAAAAAAAAGTTTCCCAAACTGTTCTTAAAGCAAGGATCTACTAAAGGAGCCAAGATACAGGACTTGGATTAGAACATGGCACTTAGTTGGGCATCAGTTTCAAGTTTCAAAGATAAACTGTCCACCAAATTGAGGACCTGAATAATACCTCTGACTTGAAAATCTCTGAGTTTCAAACTGATGACACTGTCTCTGACCCCCCGCCCCCGCCACTGCTGCCATGTCTTTTTTCTTAGCTGCTGCAGCCTGCCCAGTTTTACATATTTTATAATGTATACTTACTGATTTCTAAAAGTAACTAGTTTTTAAACAGGGGAGAGTGCAAACGCAGTCCCCCATTACCACAAATCATGCAGCTGAGTTTTCCACATTTGGGGAAATTGCAGGGCTCAGCACACCTGGCGTGCAATGAATGAGCCTCACCCTGGGAAAACCACCTTCATGATCATGGTATCTCCCCTGACAGGTAAGTATGATTATTTTGAATTCTTACATTTTTTTGCATAATATATTTGTCAGTTTCCAAAGGGGAAGATAATTCTGATACTGTCTTTTTCCAAGTTCTTTTTATTCTCCAGATTATGGAAACTTAATCCAATATTACTTATGGCAACTTATTATGGGGAATATTTAAGGTAATTAATTAAGATTTAGCCCATGAAGAACCTTCCATAACTTATACAATCATTAGACATTGGCTGAATTTCCTGATACATGGGGCCAATATTTGCTCCAGAGTTTTTATGAATGATGGGTCCTGCACAAGTAGGATAAGATTAACCAGGCACCATGCAGAAAGAATCCATTAAGGACATTAGAGAGTCACATTGGTACAGAGAATAACCTGAACAGACTCCCCCTCCTTGAGGGTCATTAATTTAAAAATAAAAAAGGAGAAGATACAGGTACTTGAGTGTACATTGGTGAAGACAGGAAGGTAACGACTAATCCAATAGGTGCCACCTTTTTCATGGTCACTCAAGGGAAAGTGATAAGAGGATCTCCAGAGAGTGCTCTGGCAAAGGGGTAGGGGAAGATTTGGGCAATGTTACAAAATATCTTCATTTGTTGTCTTTCAAGTTGTCTGACTCTGTTAATAGACACAAGCTAACTAATTGTGGGTATAAGCTTTCATACATCTGGTTACCTCAAGTATAGCCAGGGATCTCAGGTTCGACACTGGTAAAGGCAGATACTTCTATCAGCTTCATCCTGGTCGATTATGGCTACTCACTGACATGTACCCATGACTTCATAAAGTTTAGAAATATCAGGTGACCTCTTAAAACCAAATGTTATGGCTCTTACCACTCTCTGTTCCTAATGCAAGACCCAGGAGGTGAGAAGACTCACCTGGACAAATGTGTGTAAACTATTTCCAATAGAAGTTGTTATTATTGACCTTGTGAGGTAAAGACATTTATAGTAAAAACAGCTAATTGGATGTTCTAGTTTTTCACAGCAATGAGGAAAGTCACTAACATAGACTCATACAAATGTATAAAGAGTGCCAAGATTTACTAAATATCAGAAAGATTTAAAAAGAAAATCAGAGATAATTTATAGTCCATTGAGAGGATAGAGAGGACCCTTTGCCTAAAATTCCCCAGTCAGTAACCTCAGCATCACCATTTTCCTTAATTGATTATGCTGGAGGTTGTGAACAATCAATTTGAAAATGTTTTGCTATATACCTGTTGTTTCTATCTACTGTTTATAATCATTCAAGGTTTATACTCAACAAGGTTTGGGAGACCACTCTCTAAACTACATAAAGAATATTTTTAACTATCTTATGTTTTCTGTAAGGCTCAACTGAGAACTTATAAAGCCACGTTGCGTACCCAGGTACATTATCTTACTGTATAATTTAGATTTTACATTCTTTTACTAAGATGATGTGGCACAGTTCTTCTGAGCCAAAGAACTGCCATCTTCATGACGTCAGCTGTGCCTACTTACGAAAGATCAGCACAATTGGACTTGTTGACTATTGTGTTCCTTCACTGAAGGAGGAGTATGCAGGGTCATTGGACCCTTACCAGAGTATCCAGCCACTCTCTCCAGCCAGCTGTAATTCTGCCCTAATCACACATTGTCTTCGGGGTTTTTGGAGGACTAAAGTATATAATCTGGGGAAAGTTAGGAAGAGGGAGTTTGACCCATGAGGTTATAGAAAAGTCCTCCACTGGACTGTCCTTTGGTCATGTCTGTGGGGTATTTCTTAATTTTTATTTGGTGTGGGAGGGCCCAGGCCATTGGGGGAAGTGCCACCCATGGGTAGGTTGTTTTGTTTTGTATAAGAAAACAGACTGAGCATGGGCCAGGGGAGCAAACCAGTAAGCAGCATTCCTCGATGACCTGTGCTCCAGCTCCTGCCTCCAGGTTCCTGCCATGAGTTCCTACTTTGGGCTCCTCAATGATGAACTGTGACCCCCCCTCCAGGAGATGTAAGCTAAAGAACACTTTCCTCCCCAAGTTGGTATTGGTCAGAGTATTTTATCACAGCAATTGAAAGTAAACTGGAGCAATATACTTCTTTAAAACTCCCAGACATTAGGCTTTAGTTTATTTAAGATGTTACTTAGAAAATAATTTCTCATTAATGATTTTCTTCTTAATAAAAATGCTGTTCAGATGTAAGACTTCAAATCTTGGCCTGATTAAAAATTTCAATGCCTACCTGCAGCCAAAAGAGATAAGAAGCCATTTGGGAGGGAGCTCACTGTGATTCTAGTCACTCCAACAGCTATCAATGTGCCTGAAAGCAAACCTTGAATTTATCACTCTGGAGTCCAGTGTTGGTAACCAAAAGAAAAACAAGTAACTCAAGGGATGAATGAGCTTGTGAACGCATCAATAAATTCTTCTGGTTCCCTAGAACTAGTAACCTCTTGACTTTTCTCCTCCCTCACATCTCACTTAAAGATTTCCTTTTCTATCTTTATCCCGCAGGCATGCAAATAAAGTCTTTGATGCACTTTTAGGAACTTTAGATAGGCTTACTGGTGGGGGAGGGGGCAGGCAGCTAACTTGACTCAGACATGATTTTGGCTAAAAAAGTTGGGGTTTGTATGTAATGCTGGGAGAACAAGGTTGTGTATTACCCTCAATAACACAACTCCAAATGTAACTGCAAGACTTTAAGGCACATTATATATATATATAAAAAAAAACAATTTGGAAACTCTCTCACCTCCTGGAAGAATGGTTTAGAAAATGAAGAGGTCTTATGGGTTCTATGCTACCTTCCTTGGTAATCATAATGGATGTCCTAATCCTGTATTATACCATGTGTTAGGGATTTAACTTAGGCTTATTGAGTCAAGCTATTACCAAACAAATGTCCCCTCCTTATAGCAGTTTCGTATTCCAAAATATAACAGGAAGAAAACCAGTATCTTAATTCATTAGAAGAAAAGTGTTTAAAAAAAAGAGGAAGAAGGATTTGTAAGATACAGATATTAGTCTTTTCTTTCAAACTCTGTAAAACTTGGAACTTGGTCTATGACTGTGAGGTCAGACCCCAGCCAATGGGGAAGGACACAGTTCCCTTTCATTAGGGATAAAAATTCCCCAAGCTTCTGGGTCCTGTGTGTACTTGCTGGATCTGACTGATCACATAGGTTACCCTTCTGCAGAAGGGTAAATCTGTCTTGCCAAGTTTAAAAAAAGGTAATAGTTTGTAAAGAAGTTCATTACTATGTACACTTATCAGAATAATAGTATTAGGTTCTCCCCTAGGACCTATGATCTAGCCAGCCACAGGTTATTGGCCAAGTTAACTAGTAGTATCAGGTATGAGTTCCATCTTGTGTAGCTGTCCTTAAATCCAACCATAAAGCGATTGTTACTACCATAACATTTGTGCTGCTCTTGCACCACTGGGCATATTTTTCCAGGCTGATTGCTATTGTGGCTTGTATGGCTCATAACTGTATAAGATTGTTGATGACTTTTTTTTCTCCTGGTGACATACGTAGAACCTTCCAACACTGCGAAAGCCAGCCAATAGGGATGAAGCTTCCAGGTCAACACCAGCTTGATTTCTCCATATTCTATAACTCAAATATGTACCATCTTCAGCAATAGGGTCTTACTGTCAAGTTCTGAAGAGTAATAAAGAGCAATGACAATAGACAATAATGTTTGGGGGTCTATGGGAAACCTCTCTCCAACAAGTTCAAAAGAGGTAACCCACTCTTGGAAGTGGAATTTTTATTTGTTAGCCTGTGATAGGATCATTGTCACCATATTATTAACTAAATTTAAAAATCTTTTTATATGTGTATATTTATATATTTTAGGAAACTTCTGTAATAATAGACTTCTAAATGGCATTTATGTTATTCCTCCCTGTATTCCCTCTTCTGCCCTGACTGTCAATCCCCTGCCCTATTTAATCTTACCTAATCATTATTCATCTTTCCCCTTTCATACCACCTGTGTTCTATTCCACTTCCTTTGAAATGTCTCCCCATGACCTCATACTAGTTTCCTGCCTTCTACAGATATTTCAACTTAAACACACATGTCTGAAGAGTCAAAGCCAGCATCCACATATGAGAGACAACACATGGCATTAGTCTTTCTGGGTTTAGGTAACCTCACTCAAAAAGTTCATTTCCAGCTCAAATTATTTTTTCAAAGCACCCACTATCAATATTGTTTCTGAAAAAAATTTCTAATCACTCACAGCAAAGAGACTGTAAAGACTTAAAATTCCAGCAGTGACCCTGTTAGTCTGGGACCTTGTGGCTACTGAGAAACAGACAGGATTTTAGGGGTGTGGGTGCCCTTGTGGCTCAACAAAGTCACAGTGGTCTCCTATTCTGCAGGTACCTGCAAGGAGGGGCTCTGAAGAAGGGAGGACAGGAAACAGCAGCCCAAATAGCAGAATCTACAGGGAGGAACTAATAAGCCTATCTTCCTAAGATGCATCTATTATCTGTCTTTGTCCTGTTGACACCAAAACTGCCCCTAACTGTCCATATGTCCTGATGAGATCTGCCTGTGACTTTTTGGACTTTTATGGAATCATCCCTAAAAGAGAAACGTGATTCAGAAGTTTTGGTGGCCAGCAAACCTCCATCCACTTCCAGCTCAGCCACTTGCCAACCATAAAGTTGTGAACAAGATACTTTGGAGATTTCTTGGAAGTTTTGTTGACTAGGATTTATACTGGTTTTTGCCAGCATGGTCAGTTTTTCATTTCTGTATTTTATTAAATGAGTATTTATGTAATTTAATCTTGATGAACCCAAACCCTGTTCCTCTTTTCAATAGGAATTCAAAAGTGACAACAAAGCAAGTTTCTTATATGATTCCCCAGAGAAGCACCAAGTGGGGAGACCAACCCCCTTCCTAATGCTAGCTCATCTTAATTAGCCCTCGGTGCTCCAAAGCTGGTTCCCTGGACCTCTCTAATCCTAAACCTAGGTCCTGTGAGGGACATAAACTTCCATTATAATAGG